CCTGTGGACATTTGGAGCAGAACGCCTGTGGACAGGTGGACCAGGACACTCATGGACCTCAACACCTGTGGACATTTGGACCAGGACGACTGTGGACAGGTGCAGATGTCTCAGAGTCACAGAAATCAGTGGACTGTCTCAAAAGACAAAACAATAAAATAAATGTAATAAGTTAAAAGCATCTGCTTTGTCAAGGGGAGTTTCAGTAATTTGATAAAAAAATAATAATAACCTGAATTCAAAAATAATGATCGAATTTTCATTCATTCAACCTTTATTTAGACATGTAAATCCCATTGAGCCTCGAGGACTCATTTACAAGAGAGACCTGATCATTTCAAGTTTTTTTATATAATAAATAATTATTTTTAGTCAGTTTCAACTTATTTCAGTGAACTTCGTGGGATTTATCTTTGTTCACCAAAAAGGTCCAAATGTGTTTGTCCTCGTCCGAACAGGTGTCCCTCCTCATCCTCCACGTGACGTCACACTCCTCACCTGACGCCCTCCAGAATCCGGAGAAGTCGCGTTCAGCCGCGGCGCGTGAGTCCGCGTCCTCACTGCGCGTGAAACATGACGGGCGACGGTGAGAGGACAGCGGGCGATGAGGGGGACAGGGACAAAGACAAGACCCGGAAGCCCTTCATCATCGGTGTGGCCGGCGGGACAGCCAGCGGGAAGGTTGGACTTCTGTCTTTGTCCACTTTCTGTCCTCATTCTGACCGTGTCTTTTAATGTATTTATTTTAATGAAGGGGATGACAGAAAACACGTCCCTTCAGTTCTGGACAGCTCGTGTTTGTGTCTTTTTCTTTGTGAGAAAATCAAAAACAGCATCAGCTGTGCTGATCAATAATCAATACTCATCAAGTCAGCACAGATCAGACATGGAATTCCTTCAAGGAAAGCTTGGACATGTTTTATTTTTATTAGGCTATAATTAGTATGCGTTTATTAGCCTACTAGCTGTCTCTACAGGTTTAATTTCACTACATGTTTTCTGGTGAAGTCAGTGGATGTTGAGGCAGACGAAGAGCATCTTGTGCTGCACAAACCTCATATAAGTAGTCAATAATAATAATAAGTATAAGTATATGAAGCTGAGTTTACGGTTCATTCAGCGAGCACAAAATGCTTGTTGTTGTTTTTTTGTGTGTGGTTTCTGCTTCCTGGATGCTGAAGGAGAGCAACTGCTCACAGAAACACCTGTTTTCCCAGACGTCTTATCTGAGTTTGGGGAAACTGCAGCTCTTTGTTTCTCAGAGCGCATCTGCCAAAACAAAACCTGCAGCTCTGGCTGCAGATACAAACCCAAGATATCAAATGTTTTTGCTGTTTTTAAATCTATAATTGTTTGACTCATAATCAGCACTTCATCATTGCTCTAAAAATAATTGATCACAGAATTAAAAATATTTCTAATAAAACAAGTCTAAATATGCTTACAGGTCACTTTATCAGACCCACCTGTTGGAGTGCTGTTAGCACCTGATCAGCCAATCACAGGGCAGCACCTGCTGCCCCAGGTGTGCAGAGGTGGTGAAGAGACTTGCTGAAGTTCAAATCAAGCATCAGAACGGGGAAGAAAGGAGATATGGGTGAACCTGGGCGACACGTTCAACAACCACTGCTGTTGTGTTGTGTTGTGTTGTCGCGGGGAGGTTTTTACTTCAGAGGCTGAAACACAGAAACCAACCAGTGCAGCTGAGTGGACAGAAACACCTGGTTCTGGTGTCCTTCTTTCCCACTGTTGCCAACAAGCTGCTCAGGATGGGAGACTGAGTCCAAATAGATCTGATGTCTTCCTTGGACACAACTTGAATCCACTGTGTTTGTATTGTATTATAAAAGGAATTTTAATTGGTGCATCTGAATTGGATTTATGATTTGACTTGTTTTTCTCTTTTATATGGTGTCCTGAAAGGACATTAGTTGTGAGTTGGCACTTTCTAAGTAAACCGTTTGAACTTCAACAAGTCGTCTTCCTGGTGTCCATAATCACCTTGAGTTTCTGCCATGTGCTAATCAGCTATTTGTGATTGCAATCAATCTACAGGTCTCTTGAAAAATAGTCCTCATGACTCAGAGAGACTATCCTGTATAAATAAAGATTTAATTAAATCAAAGAGGTGGAGCTAACAAAGTGACATGGGCTCGGTGCTTTGCAGTTTTACCTGATCTGTGTTCAGTCAGGACACTTCATGAAGTTCAGGCCTGTGAACCCCACCTCACAACGTTAATCTGTTCTTGGTGTTCACATGTGACCAGTCATCAGTGTGCAACAAGATCATAGAGCTGCTGGGCCAGAATGAGATCGACCACCATCAGCGCCAAGTGGCCATCCTCAGCCAGGACAGCTTCTACAAAGTTCTGACCCCAGAACAGAAGGCCAAGGCACTCAGGGGTCAGTACAACTTCGACCACCCAGGTGGGCTTTGACTCTTCTTGTGTTCATGGACTGTAACCAACAGGCCCAGTTTCTTCAGTTTCTTCAAGTTCTTAGTTTCTGCTTTGCTCTTTTCTCCTGTTTAGATGCTTTTGACAATGACCTCATAATTTCCACCCTGTGGGAAATCAAGAAGGGGAGAACGGTTCACATTCCTGTTTATGACTTCGTTACACATTCCAGGTGATTCACTCTCATCCTCTTTACATAAACACACTGAAGGAGGAGTTTCAGTTGACATGCTAAACAAAATGGTCTCTTGAGCATCCTTGGGCTGTAATAATGCAAGCTGAAAGCAGCAGAGCGCAAGTTAACTCTACTAGCAAACAATCGCAATGAACAACAGTAGCTCAAATTAGCACACAATAAAGCTAATATTAGCATAACAGATAACTACTACTAAAATTAACTAAAAAGCTAAAGCTAATATTAGCACAACAGATAACTACTACTAAAATTAACTAAAAAGCTAAAGCTAATATTGACAACAAAAGTTAACTAGAAATAGTATTTCCTGCGAAAACGCCGTGTGAATGCTTGTTGCAGAAGAACTTGCTGAAAAACAGCTGAAATGAACTTCGCTAAAGAAACATTCTGAAATGTAGCTGAAATGGAAGAACAAGCCTAAATTAGCAGAAGAAAGCAGAAAGAACACATTTGCTGAATTAGGTTTTAATAAGCAGACATGAACACAAAAATTAGGTAATGATCTTTAAAAAATGGTTGAAATTAGTTTAAAAAATAGCTGAAAAGGCAGAAACAGCTTAAAAGGAAGTGAAAAGAACTGAAAATGGTAAAAAATAAAAAAGTGGAATTAGCTGAAAAAGCTAAAATTAGCATCAAAAGTTAAATATCTGAATGAGCAGAAATAGCTGAAAGAGCAGAAAAAGCTGAAAGGAGCCTGACAAGCTGAAATTAGCATAAATAAGTTATTTTGGCTGAATGTAGAAATTAACATGACAAACTTTAATTTATCTGAAAATAGATGAAATTTGCTTAAAAATGCTCAAAGTCTAGTTTAAAAGTTTAAAAGAACAAGCTTGAATTAGAAGAAGAAAGCAGAAAGACCATGTTTGCTCAATTAGGCTTAAAGAAGCAGAAATGAGCACAAAGAAGTGGATATTATCTGTACAAAGCTGACATTAGCAAAAGCAGCTGAAATTTCACAAAAAAAGCAGAAAGAAACTTAAATTACCAGAAGGAAGTGGAGACTGCACATTTTTGATGAATTACACTTAAAAAGGTTGAAATGAGTGCAAAAATAATGTGGAATTAGCCAAAAAAGCTAAAATTAGCATAAAATAGCTAAATAGTAGCTGAAATAGCAGAAAAGGCTGAAACTTGCATAAATGAGCTGAAAGGAGCATAAAAAGCTAAAATTAACAGAAAGAAATTGGAAGAAGCACAAAAATGTTGTATTTAGCTCAATTAATATTAAAATGATCACAAAACGGCTGAATAAACAGCTGAAAGTAGCTAAAAAAATGTAAATTTGCCCAAGGGAGCTGAAAGAAGTTGAAGCAGAACAAAATGTGAAAGGAGCAGTAAAAAGTTGTAAATGGATCTAAAGCTATGAAGGATGTAAAATGAGCTCAATTCATTTTCTTTGAGGGAAAAAAAGTGTCAGAAAAGGCTAAATATTTAAAAAAGCTAAAGATGCACCAATACCAAAAGCCATAGCACTCTTCTCCTGAAAGAGCTGAACATTTCTGATTTGATTTGTTGAAATAGCACAAAAATTGAGAATCGAGAAAGATGCGGAAAAATGTACAAAAGAAAAATGGATGACAATAGTGTGAATGCTTCATAAACATTCACACAGTAAATGTAGCAGAACTGCAGCTAAAAGAAGCGAGACAAAGTATGCTGAAGCAAATTTTCAAAATAACAATGTTTTTGAAAAAATTTAAAAGATTTAAGTATTTTTTTGAGAAATGCTATTTTAAATGTAAAATATCTTGAAAAGTGAAAGTTACAAAAAAGTCATAATCTACTATTTCTGATCAAGTTGAACATTTTGCTAAACGAGTGGTTAATAAAGTACATGTGACTTTGTCTCTTTTTGTGTGTTTTTCTGTTTTTTCATGACAGGAAAGAAAAAACGGTGACTGTGTACCCTGCTGACGTGGTGCTGTTTGAGGGGATTCTGATGTTCTATTCTCTGGAGATTCGAGACCTTTTCCACATGAAACTGTTTGTGGACACTGATGCAGACACCCGCCTGTCACGTAGAGGTGCCATTGTAATATATATATTTTTTTATATAAACACCACCCATCTCACCCTAACATGGGTGGTTCCACTTCACTTCATGTCTGTTCCTCCATCAGAGACCTGGAAACTTGAAGGTCCTGTTCAGTATCTTGCATGTAGGACTGCACTCTTCTGGACAGAGATGGAATCTGTTGGAGCCACTCTTCCAGTTTGGCGGTCACACACAGCACCAAATGCTCCAGTGAACACTGGGACTACTGACGCCTGGACTCTCCACAACTTCTGTATTTCCTTTTTCAGTCCTTGGTATTTCTCCAGCTGCTCTTTCTTCCTGATGCAACACTCTTGGGATTGTTTTTCTATCCCCACTGCCTTTTTCTGTAGCTCGTTGACCACCACAATGTCCAGATGGTTAGCCATCACCTGTTTGTCAGTCTGGATCTGACAGTCCCACAGTATCTTAGCCTTACTCACCCTTGATGGAGTCTCTCTCTTTGTCTGTGGGACCTCCAGTCACTATTCCAGCTACTTATATGGTATTCCAAGTATGCTTTGCACAACCTGCATCTTTGTTCTTGTCTGGTATGGTAGATCCTGCTCTCTATTGCTGCTGTGCTGCTCTGATTATTGTCTCTGTGCTGTCCTTCAGTCCAGCCATGTCTATCTACTGGAAATATTTATCATTCTGCTTATGGTACCTGTTGTGTCCAAGATGAGCCCCTCATATGGGTACCAAGCACCATGGAAAAGCCCTGTGGTACAGAATGGGTCCATGTTCGGATAGTGGGTATGACCATATTCCCTCTAATCTGTTGTTCTGGCTCCCTTTTTCTCTAGCATCTTTGTTGTTCCTCATCAATTTCTAGCAGTTTTTTTTCTTCTCAGATGTTTGATTAAAGGGTTCAAAGTTATTAGTGTCAATATGGATGATGGGTATCATTGTTTCCACAGTTCCCATATCCCTTAACATTATCAGGATGTCCTGGTTCCCTAACAACTGACGCATGTTTTGTTTCTTTAAGGCAGTCAATCCTGCATGGCTTAATTTCCATGTCTCTCGCTCAATATACAATCAATGTTGCTCAAAGGTTGGCAGCACCAGGGTTTGAACCTTGAACCCTTGATATTCTCGTACAACTTACCCCAATTTGTGACATAACCACTGTGTCAACCTCCCAGCTCTATAACCATAAGTGACCATAGTAAATAATGAGGCCTCAGCTGACAGACTCTGGGCTAAATCTTGGATTAGTTTCCTGCACAAACCCAGCTTTTCTGCACAGCCCACACATTTTCAGCAGGACTGGAGTCAGGGCTTTGGGAAAGCCATCCAGCTGTTGATCTGAGGTGAAGTTGAAGGATTTGGAGGTAGTCTTCATCATTATTCCATTTACTTTTTGCTAGACATCAGTACCACAACATGATACTACCACCATGCATGGTCGCTGCTACTTTGCTCTCAAATTTGAAAACTTTTCCTCGTCTTTACTGCGCCTTATTGTTGTGTCCAAATAACCCAGCGTATCCATAAATCCCTTCTCCAAAAGCCTTTTGGCTTGTCCATGTGGGCAGCTGTAAATTTCCGTCGACTTCCGAGGTGTAGCTTTTGAAACGGCTTCTTTCTTGGTCAGTTGTATGTTGTATAATCACTTTACCCTATTATTTTTTTTATTATTAATGGGGGGGGGGTTAAAGCTTTTTAATGACGTCTAATATGCCCATTATGATTGCATTTATATGCCTGAGTCTAGCTGTTACTTTACTCTGAAATTAGGAACTATTTCCTGCATACCTGAGTCACAGCAACAAGTTGTTTTTTGCAGTAATGAAATTCCATGCCTGGCATTTTAGTTTCTGTTGGCTGAAAAAAAAAAGCACTTGTACTTAATCAGTTGAAAAGACTGAGTTTGTAGGTTTTGTAGAAGCAGTGGACTCAAACAAACATTTCCTCTTCTTTTGGTCTAAGTGCTGCGGGACATCAGTCAACGTGGTCGGGACTTGGAGAGCATTTTGGCACAGTACATCACTTTTGTCAAGCCTGCATTTGAGGAGTTCTGCTTGCCAGTAAGTGCTCTTATACTTGGAACGGTTGTGATCCTGAACAAGGTCTCAAACCTCCCCGATTTTCCTTTGTTTAGACAAAGAAATATGCAGACGTGATAATACCGAGAGGAGTGGATAACGTCGGTGAGTACTGATGGTCGGGGAGGTGCATCGGCAGCACATTAGACTCAACAGTGTTATCCTGAAGGACACAGCTGTGTCTTCTTGTTTATTTTTGTGCTTTGAATATTTCTGTGGAAGCTAAGAAGCAAGGCAAGAATGAGCTCAACTGAATTGAGTGTTTGTGACCAGTTTGTCAAGCCTCGTTTTTGAGTGACCAATTTTTTGTGTGCATACTTGAAAAAAACTGTATTCCAGGCCAGTGGTTCCAAACCCTGGTCCTTGAGGAACACCGTCCTGCATGTTTTAGTTGTTTCCCTGCTCAAACACACCTGATTCAGTGATTTAATTATTCCTCATGTTCTATAGAAGCCCGTTTAATCAACCATTTATTAAAATCAGGTATGTCGGAGAAGAGAAACAACTGCATGCAGGATGGTGTTCCTCAAGGACCAGGGTTAGGAACCCTTGTTCTAGGCTGTGCATATTATTTTGCTGCCCACATCGTACCCAACATGACAGCCACCACATTTGTGATTCTATCCACTGGAGTAGACTTTAGATATGAAAATGGGCAGTTTTGGACCAAGGTGGACATGTCTTGTTTCTGTCCATACATACGTAAATTGTCTCTTGTCCCGCCCATAACTGCTGACTGGCTTAAGATTATTTAACACAATTTGATAACACACATGCATCATCACTAGCTGGGGGGGGGGGGGGGGGTCGCAAACACTTCACCACCACATCTTCAAGGTAAAGGTCACAAATCAAGGTCAGTGTTCTACAAGGTCTTTGCTTGTCTGGACCATTGATTCACATCTAACAGTTTGTCAACAGGCTTGGACTTGGTGCTCTTAAAAAAAAAAAAAATCCTAAATTGTCATCAGTGTAGATTTTAGATTTGTGCCTTGTACTAGAAAGCAGGTTCAGTTTAGCCATGTTTTCCTAAAAAGTTCTGGTCCACCTAATCCTGAGGAATTGTGCTTGGTGGCTCTATGAAGCTGATAATTAGCCTCAAAACTCAACTCTGGCTTTCTGGCTCTGTGCTCAAAGGACCAGTCAGTCATGATATTGGACCCTAGCCACCTAAAAATATGCCAGTGAATTCATGACAAAATCCAGCACAGCTGCCATGTCTTTTAAAACAAGTGTTGATCCAATCATCACTAATATAATTTTCTGTTAATGCATCCCGCTGCAGGCATCGCGATTGACATTTAAAAGTTTTAAACTTGTTCTGGTTTTAAAACTCTATAACGGGAGCAAAAACTGGAAGAGTTCAGTTAATGGGCCTTTCTTTAATGAAATAATCTAAATTTATGTCAAACAGCCTCTCTGATGTTGTGTTGAAGTGTCCCAGTTGTGATTTTAATCAGATTTTCGAACAAGGTGTCTGTAGAAATGAGCAGGACTATTTATTTACATAATTTAGATGCATTTAAAAAAATAAAAATATCAGTTTCTTACTTAAACAGCTTTGTTTCCTCGTTAAAGGACATTGATCTGTACCTTTTTGTTTTTATGACACAGTTGCTATAAATCTGATCGTTCAGCACATCCAAGACATTTTGAATGGTGGCCTGAGCAAACGGATGAACGGGTGGATCAGCGGGACGACGGGGAAGCAGCAGAGCGTGGAGTCGAACACTCGGCCCCACTGATCCACAGAGGAGGAAAGGCTCCCACATGTGGTGGTTGCCTCCTGAGCTTGTGTACTTTGAGACCACATTTTATTTTCTTCCAAGCGAAAGCCATGACCTTTCCCACCAGAAGGAGATGGAGAAGCTCCAGAGACCTTTAATAAATGCTGACAGTTCAACAGCAGGACTGTTTGATTTGGCTGCGGACGTTTCTAATCTACGAAAACAGCAAAAGTTTACGTCTCACAACAGTTTTCTGTGAATAGAACTCCATCCTGTTTTCTAAAATGATTTCCAGAAACGTTTTTTTCTTTAGAATATCACAAAGATGAATCGATTAAATTGTTTGTTTCACTTACGTTAAATGTTTAATTACATTTTATTTAACACATTTATTCTGATAAAGCTCTCAGGTACGCAATTCCTAAAAGAAGCCTTGTCATTTATTGTCAAAAATGTATTTGTTTTACTGTTCCAAATGTTAAAGATCTGAATTTAATTTTATTTCCAAGTGGTATTGAAAAGCATTATGTTCATTTAATTAAAGGTTTAACGATCTTTGAAGGAAAGCATGAACATTTTTGACTTTGTCAGGTGTTTTCGTCCTTTTTTAAAATTAGACAATATTAAATAGACCAGGATTTTGCAGCTTTTATCTTAAGAGCCATTTTTAAAATATATATTTTACCACATGTTTTGAACACCTCCCATAAAATCTGGACTCTTAAAATAAAGATGACATACTTCTTTGTGTATACCATCTATTATACCATTAAAAACATTGTTGCATTGTAAAATAAAAAAAAAAAAAATCCCCAGTATAGTTCTGTACAAGGATGTTACTCTTGTTTATGACACATTCTCTTTTCATATTTGAAATAAAAAAAACCAACTTGGAGGTAAATGCAGCATAAACATGAATCAGTTTTTGATTTTTATTAAGAGGACCAAAGCAAACCAAAACCTTTTATTGAAGCAGTTAAAAAATATTAAATTTTAAAAGAAAAAAATGGATGAAAAATAAGTTTGGTGTAAATACTATAATAAATACAATTGATAAAAATATTATTTGGCTCAAACATGACTTAGTTGCCGTTTCAGTGATGTTACGGCAACTTCATGTGGAAGTTTTTCAACTAAGCAAATCCAGTAAAACCTTTAATTTTTCCTCAAAATTCAAATATTACACATAATTTAGGAAAGTTAGTCCAACTTGTTTTATTTACTTTGCATAAATTAATTTAAAGTTGGCTCAAAATATCATGCTGCTACCGGCTTAAAACCGAGCTGCTGCAGAAATGGTCAAATCTTGACTTGTTCAACACGGAGCCCCTGCAGAGAAGTCTGAATCCAGTACGATGAACGGAGGATGTTTTATTAGTTTACATAAACCCATAAATTGTGTTGCTCTCATTTCATCAATTCAAAATGGAAAAGTGGAACATCTGAGGGCTTTTGGTTTTCATGGCACCAAATGGAAAATACAAAATGTCATTTTCTGTCCAAATGATGATGAAAGCAGCTGAAACTAAGCAGCAAAGCACAAGCTGAAAAAATTAAAGCTACAAAAACCAAAAGTCACAGCAGCTGAATAATCTGAATGTTTTAATAAAATAATGGATGAATGGCACAAAGAACCGAATCGTTACATTTCCCCTCCTGTTCACTGGTTTGTTTCAGTAATACTGAGTATTACAACTGGTGTGGAACCAGGAAACTGCTCATACTTGTTAAAAAAATAAACGAAGCCACACAACTTGCAGGTAAACATTTTTACTGGATTTTACAAAACAGAAAATTTGAAATCATTTTGGATCCAAACCAGAAAAGAAAGTTCCTCTAGAGGACGGTAAAAAACACGTTCTTTAACGTATACACCCCCTACACACTGTCTGAAGAGGTCCTCTCAGTGTCTGCTGCGGTAAAACCACTGAAGTGGGGGCCAGACGGGGGCCACCAGTATCCTCGAGGTGGCACACCATAACAAAAAAAAAGTTTGTAATCTCAATCATCCAGGTAGATGACAACAAAAACTGTTAAACCATCTGGACCATAACCAGAACAGGATTTTAGGGGTTTATTCTGCTGGTGTCACCATTTAGAACTCGTGTCCAACTCAAGGCCCGTGGGCCAAATCTGGTCCTTGTTAACATCTTTTAAGGCCCCCCAAGATTATAATATAAATGAAAAATGTGTTTATTATTCTAATTTTGCTAATAAAAAATAATTTGATGTAAGTTTCTCATGACGGCTAACTTTGATAGCAGAAAAAATGTTGGATCTTTCTGAAATATTCGATTTTGATGCGGAGGTGCAACAAAACTTCAAATGGGACTAATTTCATGGATGTCTGGTACCTGACTGGGTTCATACATCGACAACTGGCCCATGACTTGGAAAGTTTTAAACGTTGGTCCATTCGTGCAACAGTTTGACACTCCTGAAGGTTCTTGTAACAAAGCTGCCTGTTGGCACTCGGGGGATGATCCTCAGCTACTACCACGCCAACTTGTAGCTCACTGTCTGTAAATCTGACGAGTTATAAACATTCTAAGGCTGATTATCTGGGGGGCCATCTTGAATTAGGAGAACATAAAAAGATGCACATCCAACGATTACATTTTTTTTTTTTACTTAAATATTTTGCTAACAGTTTATAAGAACAAGACTGTCTGGACATGTGAGCACGTCAGTTCCTGACGGAGGGGTTGTGACCGAACAGGCCGCGGTACAGCTCGCTGCAGGCCTCGTCGCTCATCGAGCTGTGCTCCATGGGGGCCATGAAGTTGAGCAGCTTGTTGTGGACGTGGAAGCGGATCTTGCGTCCCTTGCTGGCCTTGGTGTCCACCTTCTTCTTGATCTTGCTGCGCAGCTTCTGGATGGCGAGCCACTGCCTGCCCATGGCCACCTGGTCGTTGGGGTCGGCGACGCTCGTCCTGCGCTCTATCAGCTCTCTCAGGAGCTGGTGGTAGAAGTCGTCGTCATCGAATATGTCCTCGTCCACGTTCTTCAGGTGAGGGTTAGCTTTGAGCTGCGGCTCGCCGTCAGCGGGGACGTCCTCAGGGACGTCCTCGGGGACCTCTCTTTTCCCCAGGACGGTGTACTCGGAGCGCCGGGTCTGCGTGCGTCGCAGCAGCCTCTCCTCGTCCATCAGCACCTGCTCCACCTGGGTGAGGATGCTCCTGTCGAAGGCGCCGAAGCCTCGGCTGCTCTTGCCCAGCGTCAGCCGCGTTTTGTCGTGCCACCGCTGCAGCGTGGCGTCACGGTACGGCTTGAACGCCGCAAAACGCTTTGCCATGAAGTCTGGGTACTCTGCCATGTCCAGCTTTCTTTTAGGTGCTCCAGCCTCCTTCGCCGGCCGCTCTTCGTCACTATCGACCTCCCTCTCATCCTCGTTTCCACCCTCCTCTGCAGCAATGGTCCTGGTGTCTGGGTTCTGGTGCAGCAGCTGGTCCTGGAGCTCCAGCAGGGACCTCTGAAGGGCCTTTAAGGCCTTGCGGCTGGTTTTCAGCGCCCCGAAGAACTCTGCTCCGCCCTTCCTCCTGAACTCGGGGAACGTCGGCGGCTGCGGCAGCTGGTTGGCCGTCACCAGAACCTTCTGGAGTCTGATCCGACCCTCGAGCAGCTGGTCCCACAAGGCCAGCTGGTTCTTCACAGCCCGGCCTTTCTCCACCTCCTCGTCCACTTTGTCCTGAGAGAACGTACGGATGGTGCTCTCATCCGGCTCGTCTTCCATGTCAGAACTTTGGTCCTCATCATGGCTGCCTTCAGACTCCTCCCCAGTACCATCCTCATCATCACTCACTCCCAGGTCGTCCATGCCTTCCGTCGTTTCGGTGAAGTCCATGTCTTTAGAAAAGGTGAAGTCAGAGCTTTTAGAAGTTGGTTTGGATTTAGTGTCTAAAAACTCCTCTTCATCAACCTCCTCATCCTCTACTGAATCTTCTTCTTCTTCTACTCCATCAGCTTCCTCATCTACAGAATCACCTTCTTCGTCTTCTACTGCTTTTTCCTCCTCCTCCTCCTCTTCATCAGATCCTTCAATGTCCATTAGCAGCTGTTTACGGGACACTGGTTTCCCCACATATCGTTTGTCTGTGTCCCACAGCAGGGAGGCATTCCGTTTCCGCAGGGCCCCGACCTGGGCCTGGATCGGACCCTCGTCCTCCTCCTCCTCCCTGAATCTCTCTACCACTCGGGCTTTCGTCGCCTCGTCCGCATCATCCTCCGGATCCGCGAACTTGGGTTGTGGATTTAATAAGTCCTCGAGCTCCTGGGAAAACGAGCGCGCCGTCATGACCGCGAGTTTACCAAACTCACACGTGCAAGACACTCACAGCCGTCTACAGCGAAACTGCAAATAGTGGCCAAGGATGACGTCGTTAAAATGCGACGAGACGGAAACACGAGCTAAGTGTCCTTTACTTTGTCTTTCAGGCATTTTTAACGCCGCAGTTTTATCTCGCCGCAGTCTTGTCATTTCTCATTTGTACGTTGCATTCAGTAAAACATAATTTATTATAGTCTTTAAATTAATCTTAATTAAGATTTCTTCCAGGTTTTCTGAAATTGTTTCAATGTTTTCTTCGGCTTTTCACTTTTTCTCTAACAAATGTAAAGCTTGTCACTTTTGTCCATTTTCCTGATTTTATAAGCACACATTCTACAGGATTCTGTGAAGTTCAGGCAAGACGAGTTGGCAGAAAACGTTTTAGAAAAAACAAACAAAAAAAATGTCATTACATTTTTTTTTGTTTTTACCTTAAAGACAAAACGTAGGGAAGAATTGTCCCCTCTCTTTTTGTTCCTTCTACGCATGCGTACATTGGTACGGCGTCTCGGGCTTTGAGCTACTCGTGTTAGCTCTATTGGTTACATTTAACAAGGAACAGCACCGTACAGAGTTCAAATATGTCCTCAAGCGACTTTTATTTGAGGTATTATGTTGGACACAAGGGGAAGTTTGGACACGAGTTCTTGGAATTTGAGTTTAGACCCGACGGTGAGTTGCGATTGGCGTTAATACTGATGTTTTAGCTTCGTGATGCTAACTTCGGAAGCAGCGGGCAGGCCTCAGCTCACAGCGCCAACATCATGGTCGTCTCTGTTTTGTAATTAATTCAAACTCCAAAGTATTTAGGGTGCACTAGTAACTTCACACACATTTAAAGTAAACGCGTTGTTACCGAGTTGTAAACATGTCTGCACATATGATATACCTTAAGAGTTAAAAGTAATGTGTAATAACTTACGGTTTTAACATCTTTACAGGTAAACTGAGGTATGCAAACAACAGCAACTACAAGAATGACGTCATGATCAGGAAAGAGGTAATTTGCTATTATAAGCACATTAGTAGTACAACTGTTGTGCAGCTGAATGAATGGGCAGCTTTCCTAATTGTTTCTGTGGTTTTGTTGCTTTTATTTTAACACAAATACATTAGTAGTGTCATTAAACCAAGCTTAAAGTTATTGGCTTATTTTTAATTTATAATTAAAAAGTGCTTTTGTGTTAGATAAGGGTCGATGCTCTACAAACAATGTCAGGCGGAGATTTATTGGGCTCCAGGCCACTTTGTACCCCTACTCATGCTTTTACCATTTTGTACCCACCCATTCCTTATTCAACACTAAAGATGTATGTTTTGCTATAACATCAAGCCTTTTTTGTCTTAATTATTGTTCTTTCCCTTTGATCACAGCTCTAATTTTGACCAAATTCTAACCAGATGGGTTAATAACAATAAATTTAGTCATAAATACAGATTAACTGGTAAACTACGCAGTAAATTTTTAAAATTTTGCACATCTTTTATATAACGTCTGTGTGGCTTATAGAGATATAGATGACTTTAAGTCAGTGTTGCTCAGTCCTGGTCCTCGAGGACCACTGTCCTGTATGTTTTAGACGTTCCCGTTGAAAGGAATGGGTAATGGCTTCTGCAGAACTTGAGGATTTGCTGAAGAGATAATTCAACCTTTGAATCAGGTGTGATGGAGCAGGGAAACAACCAACCGAGGGCCAGGATTGGACACTAATGCTTTATATAAACAGCTTTCAAGGCGTGTACACACAGGATGATGATGGCAGGCAACTTTTTTTGTGTGGGTATGGAGTAACAAGCGACCTATTGTCAAACCACTGAATGACTTTTTTAAATGTGTTCCCATATATTTTTAGATGTAAAGAATGAAACACATGCTGCCATTCTGTATTTCAGTTTTTTGTTTGTACTCACCCAGGCGTACGTACACAAAAGTGTGATGGAGGAGCTGAAACGGATCATCGACGACAGTGAAATCACCAAGGAAGACGACGCTCTGTGGCCGTCTCCTGATAGAGTTGGAAGACAGGTTTGTGTCCAGAACATTTTCATCTTCGTCAGCTTCAATTTTCATAGCGGCAAGAGAAAACACGGGGAATAATCTCCTAACATGGATTTAAAACCATCTGTAGTTTAACAATGGACAAAAATGCCTCAGCTTTTTAAAACCATTTTTTTCCTTCATTAAATTAAAAATGTCTTTATAGTCATAACATTTTCATACAATAGTGTTTTACTTTCATTATATATTTTGATGGTTGTTACCGCTATAGTTTTAGTACTGTTGCATGCTTTTAAAGTAAGTTACATCGGTATGGAAACTTTAAACAACACGAATATTTAAATTTTCTTCATTAGGAGCTGGAGATAGTCATCGGAGACGAGCACATTTCATTCACGACTTCCAAAATTGGCTCCTTGATCGACGTTAACCAGTCAAAGTGAGTATCGTGGGGAGACGGACTGTGCGTTTGCTGCCGTCTGCGGGAAGGTTCTTCTAACGTCGTGCTGTGTTTCAGGGACCCTGAAGGTCTTCGTGTCTTCTACTACCTGGTCCAAGATCTGAAGTGTCTCGTGTTCAGTCTGATTGGCCTGCACTTCAAGATCAAGCCAATCTAAAACATGGACTGAAAGTGTTTGTTACTTTAGCTGATGTTTTTTGTTGTACGACTGCATTTGTACATTTGTTTCTGGTGGGATTTTCTATCTTAAATAAACAGTAAAGACAAAACTGTCCTCGTGATCCTTCAGCTTTTACTGCATTTCTAGTAAACGAATGCTGGAGCCGGTAACATATTGTCATGACATACCAAGTTATATAGTTCACAGTTTTTATTAGAAATTACAATCGATCATCACAAAGCTGTGAGCAACGTCCAGACAAGACGGTTAAATAAAACGGATCAAGTTGTCGGTTTTGTCTTCACATTATTAAAAGGCACGTGTCCCCATGCTGCTGTCTTCCATAGAAGGTTGAAAGAGCTGCCTCAGACGGACTGAGCGCTGTACAGAGTAAAACATCTGACTCCTGCAGTTCATCCCCATTCAAATAAACAATCCCAGTCAAAATGTACGTTAACCATTAAGGCATTTCTTCTCGAAAACCCATGAATCTGCAGAAGTAAACGAGTCTGTAAATCTGTAATGGAATCAGTTTTGGAAGCTACGAGTTGATTCGTCTGAGGACACCTCTCTCTTAGCTGAGTGGCTTTCCTTCCAGAACATTGAAGATGTCCTCCAAAGACTTGTGGACACACTGTAAGAACTCGTGGACGTTGCGAGCCGGGTAGCTGGAGACGTTGCAGCCGATCCAGTCGTCGTGAACGCCGTAACCAACGCCGAACCCGTCGGGCACCACCGGAGCGAAGCCTCCGAGGCTGACGGCGGGGCTGGTGAGGGTGCTGGTGGACAGGATGTTGTGGTTGATGGCAGCGTAAGCCGGGTCTGTGTACAGGCTGTGCAGAGCCTGGCCCTTTGAGTTGGACAGGTAACGCATGGCGAACAGGTGGCGGTCAAAGCCTTGACCTGATGAGACAAGGAAAACAAGTTATCACAGCAGGTACTGTTCTGAGAGCAGCTGCATTGAATTTGATTCATTTTAGACTTTGAACAATTTTGTTAAATAAAACCCCCACAGTGGTTACTGAAATAACCGACAGCATACGACACACTGTACACGTACAAGTACGATCAGAGCAATCTATAGCAATGACTGTAACCTTTGACCTTGATTCTGAGGTGATGAAATTGCACATTCACATCAAGTTTAGTTCAATTGTCTTGAGCGGATCAGAAGTTATGGTTGGGACGAGAAAGTTTACGGACGTACGGATGGAGACTACACTGTGATACGTCCACCTTTACACGGGTGTATAAGTCTTAAAAAATATATTTCATTGCTTTTGAGTAAGGCGGCACGGTGGCTCAGTTTGTAGAGTTGTTGCCTCTCAACGAGAAAGTCGCCAGTTCAAATCCCGGCCCAGGACCTTTCTGGGTGGAGTTTGCACGTTCTCTCCGTGCTGTGTGGGTTTTCTCCGGGTGCTCCAGTTTCCTCCCACAGACCAAAAACATGCATGTTGGGCTGACTGGTAACTCTAAACTGTCCCGAGGTGTGAGTGAGAGAGTGAATGGTTGTTTGTCTCTGTGTGTCCCTGTGATGGACTGGAGACCTGTCCAGGATGTCCCCCGCCTCTCAGTGATGGCTGGACATGGACACCAGTGACTCAAAAAGGAAGCAGCAGGTAAATATAATGGATGGATACTTTTGAATGAAGATTAAATAGAATGATTTAAAAAACAAACCAAGGAAACTGAATTTGACATAAAGGATGGTCCTCTTAGAAAAGACCAGGTATAAAAGGTGTGTCGTGTCCTGTAGTTGGCATCAGTTGTCTTTGGTTACTTTGAGTGCACCATCCATTGCATCTTGAATCACCGGCTCTAAGAAGACCCAAGAGGGCTTCACATGAAGCGAATCACGAGCTTTGTTTACAGTGAATGTACCGGTACTTGCTTTGTTATTGTTGTGGAACGGTCCAAAAGCATCATTCTGTTAAAGATGGAGTGTAATAACGTGACACGAAGCGCCATGTTGCCATGGGTTCTGGACATAACTAGTGTGCTTTGTAGTCCTCTGTTCATAACTGGTAGCTCACACATTTTTTAAATGAATATTTTACATTACATCCTTTTAAAAATAAGATATTTTACAAAGCAGTGCCACGTTTAGTGCTGTTTCACCTACACAAAGTTATTCACAGTAAACTCTTAAGTATTCACATGCACTTGGAAAAGTTTTGGACGCACCCATAGCTGCCTCCTTGGTGAGCTGGCCGTGGTATTTGGAGCACTCGCTGATCATGGCCCGCAGCTCCTCCACGCTGTGCTTGTTGGGCTCGTGAACGAAAGCGTGCGAACACAGTTTGGTGTGCGTGGAGGCTGGTCGGATGGTCTCCGTGCGACCGTGCCTGAAGACCGCAGTGCTGCAGGACTCGTACGTGGCCACCGTCTGATCGTACAGTCTCAGGAAGCCCATCTGAAAAGACAGCTGGGCGACGGCATCTGGACTCAACTTGCTCTTCTTTAACTGCTCCTTCCCACCTTTCTTGAACTCCATGGCATCGATTGTGAGTTTGGACACGGCTGAGTCGAAGTTCTTCTTGGCCTTTTCGATGCCGCTCTCCAGCTCTCGGTCCAGGTTGAAGCTCAGTCTGCGCACAGCCGAGGCCGAGTCCACAGCAGCAGGAGGAGAGCCCGGGTGGACCAACGGCTTCTCTGTCGTGTCTTTAAAGACCTCGTTCTGAAAACGGAGCACGGCCACTCCGTCGCCCCAAGAGTGCTCAAAATTGATAGCCGCTTGACCGTCTTTGGTCACGATGACGCTGAAGGACTTGTCGAACCAGCGGTTGCAGCCGTCGCCGTGCAGCATGTTGTGGGAAATGTGAATGTGGTCTCGCATGCTCTCGTCATCCAGGCAGAGACAGAACAGAGCACTGTCGACCATCTGCAGAACCTCTGCATTCCCAGCAGCGACCAGTTTGTCCCTCAGTCCGGCCCAGATGTCCCTGTTCTCACTGGTCAGGACACCCAGAGGGAAGGCCGGCGCTGGGGTGGAGTCGGACAAAATGTACTTCAGATGCGACTGGATCTCTGCGGGTTTCACCAAGTTTCCGTCTCTGTCCACAACATCAAACGCGTACATGTTGCCTTTTCTCATGACCAACAAATGTCGGCCTTTCTCGTCGGTGACGAGCTCGTCTCGCCCGGGTTTGGGAATACGAGTCGAGTTGAAGAGGCGGAAGTACTGCGACATATCGAGGGGGTAGGCGTTCACCATGTAGGCCCCGTACCACGACAGAGAAGACGGCACCCAGCGGATGAAGTTCTTGAACCTTTGCGTGTCGCTCTTTGCCGGGTTCAGATGGAAAACCTCCGGCTCCAGTAATCTCGCTCGCAGCGTTTTCATGAAGCGCACGGCCGAGCACACCATGTTGGTGGACCGCACCAGCTGGTCGTTGTACTCGTTCCTGGAGTCCAGGTTGAAGGACATGAAAGGGTTGAAGTTCAGCACCACAGAGTCGCGCGCAGACAGGTACATATCAAACCACGGACCTGAGAGAAACGGCATCATTGAAAAAGATGAGTGAGTGAGCAGACACAGAGGTACTGACTTCATGGAGCCATTAGACGAACGACACGCCAACCTGAGATGTAGCTCGTGTGCTTGTTGTTCTTGTCTTGAGCCACCAGCTCCTCGTGTAGCTGTTTCCCTGCTCCATTTTGGAAGTCCTGAGCGATTTTCTCAGTTGTTCTAATCATAAAGACAAAGTTAGCTCCACATAAGTTAAAAGCAACCAACAATCGAGTGGGAGATTCTGGTAAAACATACCTGAACTGATCATCATCCAGCAGAGGCTTCTGAGCAGCTAAATACCTCCTGATGGTGTCTTCAAGCTTCGGTACGGGCAGTCTAAACAACAACAGAACAGCAGGCACTCCCATCAGCTATAAACTGATCTGCAACTAATCAAAGAAAAAAGCTGGGCTCGCTGCTTAACGCGAGATTACTTTTGTTTTGTCTTGTAATCTGGTTTATTTAGTTAATAAACATTTATTCCCATAGTCCAGACCCACTATACTACTTTTTCTTAACAGCTTTTTGTCGCTTTAGCTATTAGCTATCCTTTTACTAGTTTTAGCTTCTAGCTACTATTTTGCTATCTTTGGCAACTTTTAAATATTTTCCATTAAAAAAACAAATTTATATTCTTTGAAAACTGCTTCAGCACACTTGCTCAGTTTTTTCCTCTTGTAATTTGACTTTCAGCCTGTCTTTCGTTTCTAAGTAGATTTTTGCTAACTTTAGCTAACCTCTTGCTACTTTTAGCTGTAAGTCTGCTTTCGATAACTTTTAGTCACTTGCTAGCTCGACTTTTCCTACTTTTAGTTAGCGTTTTGCTATTTTTTAGCTCTTTGCTCTTCTTTTACTACCTTTAGCTTCTATATGCTGTTTTCAGAGCTTTTACATTTAGCTAGCCTTTTGCTACTTTAAGCTTTTATCAAATAATCCCTTCTTGGTCTGCTGCCTTCATACATCTCCTCCTACATGTCTCTGTGTGAGTGCAGCTACAGTGTGCGCTCTCAGGACATTATTACCTGCAGTGTTCCCTCAGTGAGGACTGAACTTGGCAAAAGGGCCTTCTCTTCACATATCTTACAAAAAGAGCTGAAGCTCTCGACCTTGACCTCTCTAAGTGGTTTCAAACATCTGTTAAGTTCCTGGCAAGAACCAATGCAGACATGTTCATGTTTTTAGTTTTCTACATCGCCTTATAATCTAGCTGTTTTTTTCTCTCACTACCCTTTCCTTTTGGTTGCCATTTTATTTTAAGTTGTAAAATAAAATTGTGTATGCCTCTTTTGTTATTGTTGTCGTTGTTATCCACTGTTGACATCACTCTTTGTTAAATAAATCAAGTCTCTCTTGTAAACGAGTCCCCGAGACTCAATGGGATTAGCCAGATTAACCAGTATAAATAAAGGTTGAATAAATCTGATTTATACACAAATATTGCACATCGGGTAAAAAGAAAAAATACGCCACAAACAAGTTACTCTGTAGCTGTTTTGAGCAAACCTTTTGAGAGGGATCTAGCTGTGCGCAGGGGGGCACTTGTCTTCAATGGAAACATAATATACAGCAATACATATTCTTCATTCATGAAACAACTAAACTCCAACCACAGCTTGTGTTCGGGATCTTTTAGCTTTAACCGCTCAGTTTCAGCATAACGTTGTGATATAAAAATATGTTTTATAAGGTGTGAAGTTGCCCTTATGCCAATTCAAACATATATATTTTGTGTGTGTTACTTATTCAGAATTAAATGTCTAAAATTGCCATAAAAGCAAGGGTGGAATGATATAGAAATTATTATTTTAATGCTTTTATGCCAATCTAGACCTATATTATACTTATTTAAACACACTTATACAACGTGTTATTCACATATTAGGGATTGTACTTTGTTTAACATGTCACAGAGACAAAGGGGGGAATGATTTATGTTGCCTTTGTTAATATTTGGGACATTCTTTGATGGTTTGCAGAGGGATGGAGGAGTGCGTATTTCCTCTTTAGGAAGTTTAAGGAGTATCTCTAACTTCAGGGTCTTGGCCCGCCTTGAGGTCACCGTACTCCTTCTTTGTAATAAATCACCAGCTCCTCATCCGTTGTTCTGGTAACCATCAAAACTTGCTTTGATCTGCTCTCACGCGATCCGGTCAGGGAAGAAGGTATATAAGAAATGTATCAAACAACTTAATCTTTGGAAGTCCGGTGTGGATCAGCACGCGCTGAAGTCCATATGCCATTTTGATGTGATTCTCCTTTACCTGGGTCGAAAACGACTTCCCGGCCAGTGTCACGGTGAGAAGTTATTTCATATCAATCTGTGTGTTAAGAGTGTACGAGTGTACATGTATGTTTTTCGCTCGGTTGTTTTCTGTGGCAGGATAATAAAGGACACTAATTTACCCTAGCAGTAACAGCTTCTGTCTTTCATTTTTTCCTTCTGGTCTGAATATCTGTGCCGACCGTTTCACGAGCCCTTTTGATAAAGAATTTCACAATACACGTTGGTTTAGTACAGTTATTCTGAAATCAGCACTCGCGTTTGATTTTCACAGAAAATTCTAATTTTATCGTTTATATTATAAGGCAGAAAATATATCTGAAGTGTTTTATATGAAAATTCTATATTTTTTGTTCATTTTCATCCATGCCTGTAACCCAGTCCAACCTTGATGTGTTGGTAGTTTTTAATCCCGTTATTGCCATTTCTTGTCACCACGTCTAAAAGTTTTTGTGAAAACTAAGCATTAAATTCTCCCTGTCAACATCTGTTAGACATGTACAGCAGGTCAACTTTGACAGATCATTTTTAAACAGAAATCCTTCACACATTTTTTTTTCTGGAGACAGACCAGTACTCTAAACTTTTCTTGCAAGTCGGAGCTTTGTACTGTGTAAAAATGTGTTTCTAGATTTTCTTGTAAAGATGCACAAGCATGCCTATAATATGACATAAAATACAATCATAAATTTAACATACTAGTTTTAAAATGCATGTTTGTTGGTTTGAGTTCATAATATTTGTTGTTTATTATGGTTAACCAAGTTTATGATCACTTTAGCAAACACCCAACACAGCTGCTTTTACTTTAATGTATTCTAAATGGTCACATCAGTGACTTCAAGTTGCTCTGACTGGTTTGTGAATAAACACCCATTGTGTCATTTTACCGCCACCTAGTGGTCACACAGGTTAAATCAAGCGTGCCCTTTTACCTGCATTCACCAACGAGCCTTAGTGGGTCACCTAATAAACCAAACTGGTATTTAGCTGCATACCTGGGCAAACTCTTCTGGTAATGCATCGATGGCACGATGCTTTCGTGCAGAAACTCTGGAGAAGAAGCCGTTTTGCTTCCGTAGCACCGTGAAAACAGCAGCGCTCCGCTTCTAAAATGAATCAGACTCGCAGATTTCCTCAGAGAAACAGCGCATCGTGCTGAGAGTAGAGAGGCCATAATGTTTGCTAAATAACCGGATAAATGCTGGGATTTTTAGTACCCAACAGAAGCACACCGACCGGCTAAACGTGACAAAAATAAACCCTAATGAGACATAAGCGCCTCACGGCTTTCGGCAGGTAAGAGCTACAGCTAACAAGCTAGCATTAGCCGCGGCCTTATCTCCTAGTTTTGGTGTTTTAAAAGATAAGTTGACACTTTTGGCGCGTTCTACTGCCTCCGAATTACTTTAATTCAATGGCAAATTGTTATTTGCCACGATGGCAAAAAACACCCAAGAATGAATAAGAAGTAAACTAACAGGAAGTTTGACTGGGATAGTGTGTCACGTGACATGGCCCGACTACGCTGCTTTTCTGAGTTGTGTTCAAGAGCCGCGGGAAAAATCAGTTTTCAGCCATTTGTTAGGATTGCATGGATAGCGCATGTAATTCGTCTTTAATGTGTAATGTCGATAGCATTAAATAAAACTAGAGAATTTAATTTATGCGAAAACGAAGATGAATCTGAAACTGGCATTCCAGCTAAAAGAAGCAGAATGCAAGCTAAAGCCGCAAGTAGCAAAATGCTTCATAAAAGCTAAAAATTGCAATTTAATTGTTTTGATCATTAAAAAAATTACAAACATCAGGGTGAAATGATGAATTACATTAAAACTAATCAATTTCAAACAATTCAATACATTCCTTTATTATAACATAAATTTGACTTAATCTAATAAAGCAAAACCATGTTAATTGGGATGTGAAAACTTTTATTTGTATTTTTTGCTTGAATTTAATTAGTGTATGCATCATGTTTTTTTAAACATTCGGTTTAATAAAGTTTTAAAATCAGCAATTGGCAAGCCCTCCAAACACAGCCCTACTCCAAATAAATATAATCAGCTAATTTACAAAATAAAAGATCTATAATTGTATAAATGCATTCACAAAATTAAATAAATACATAATGGTCAGAACGTTTGGTTTGACAGAAAGAGGTGTCAAATGATTCAACCTTACCAGCCAAATTAACCGGATTATTTTCCAGATGAAGAAATAAAATAACTCTGAGCTCAATTCACCAGCAGAGGGCGGTGTTTCCCTGCTCACAGGGAATTTCACCAGCAGCGCCAGTAAGAGGGTCAAGGTTCCTTTATTGTCATTCGCATCGCATGTGGTACATGTGGTGGAACGAAATTGTGTACACAGGGTCCCAGTTACATCCAAACAAAGTTTAAATTACAAAAGAAAAACAGTAATAAAATTTAAGATATGAACTAAGAAATAAACACTTGATACTGCAAAAACAATACACCGAACAACAGCAGCACGAACATGAGTCTTTGTGAGCAGATGAGTACGAATGAACACAGCAGCATGAAATAAATCAGCAGCATGAGATCAGCAGCATGGATAGTCAGCAGCACATATCAACAATCAAAGTGGCATTAGTGATTTTTTTTCTTCGTCACCGTGATAATTCTGATTAGGGATTTATGAGTCTAACAGCCTCAGGGTAAAAGCTGTTCCTCAGTCTAGTGGTTCTACACTTAATGCTCTTTAACCTTCTGACCGAGAGCAGCGAGGCAAAAAGTGTGTGTGCTGGGTGAGTGGGGTCCTTCATGATGCAGGTGGCTCTCTTCCTAGAGGAGTAGATGTCTGTGATGGTGGAAGGTGACTCCAACAGACTTCTGTGCAGCCTTCACCACTCTCTGCAAAGCTTTTCTAAGAGCCATCCATCCAACCATTATCTTTACCCACTTCTTCCTTTTCGGGTTGCGGGGGTCACTGGTGCCCATGTCCAGCCATCACTGTACGAGAGGCGGGGTACACCCTGGACAGGTCTCCAGTCCATCACAGGGACACATAGAGACAAACAATCATTCACTCTCTCACTCACACCATAGGGACGATTTAGAGTTGCCAATCAGCCTAACATGCATGTTTTTGGGTCTGTGGGAGGAAACCCACACATGCAAGGAGCGAACATGCAAACTCCACCCAGAAATGTCCAGGGCTGGGATTTGGACTGACAACCTTCTCACTGACAGGCAGCAGTTTTACCAACTGAGCCACTGTGCTGCCCCGACCATAAATATTACATTAATGTACTTTTTTTCTTAATTATAATTAGAGCACTTCAAAGAACGTGCAATTATGATTCTGAGAGTACTATGTGAAAGTTGCTCATAAATCATTGAAAACATGTCATTTTCATTTTTTGTCTGCCAGAACACATTCATAAACCAAAACACATCTGTGCTAAGGTAATGAGGCTGCACTGTAATCCTTAGGTCAATTTATAGCTCTCAGAAACACGGGTTGTTGTGTAGAAACTCAACTTTATTTAGTTTTGAAACTTTTTATTAGTTCAGAATCCTGCAGATGTAGAAAAAAAAAAAAAACTTTATTAATATTTATTAATGTCAACGGGACAAACATTTAGAGACAGAAAACAAACTCCCAGCAGCTTTTAGAGTCAATAACACTTGCCCTATAATTTATACAATTTCACTAGGTAAAATCAAAAGTTAACATTTAAAAAAGTTTAGAATGTTGTGTGAAACTGGCTTTTCTTTATTAGTATCTTATTTCATATTTCTGTTTATTAAAAGCTATACGCTTCTTAAACAAGTGTGTTTCATGTGAGAGTTGTTCTGTGGGTTAGGGTTAGGTCTGGGGGTATGTTCTGTGGTCTTTAATGCTGACCTGCTCTCTCCACAGAGCTACAGCTTCCTGTCAGCTGCAGTTTATAACGGCCACGATGGATCCACGTCAGAGTCCAGCTCATCAACACTGCCTGGAGTTTAAACTGAGATCAATGGAGGTACATTTATAATAAATTCTCTTGATTCAGTCATCTTCCAGATGGCTTCTACAGCTAAGCAACAAAACTAAACTGTCTATAATTCAGTCCGTTTAACAGGTGAACTGAAATGTGGCGTGGGAGTAGCTGAGAGTGATCCTCAACACATACTCTGAGCACAGATCGCACGATCTCACTCAGTTGCATGATGTTGTTTTCAAGGTTCAACCGAGTAACGTTTTGAAGTTTAGCTTTAGCATGGTTAAAAATGATTGACATACGATGACATAATTGAATCTATGTTTGTTGGCTAAAATCAGCTGCTGTGGCCATCTTGGATCAGATTGTTGTGTACGTCAGCCAGTTGTAGATGCACATCTGGTGATCACTGCCTGAAAGTTCTATTAAAATCTGTCCAGCGCTTTATGAGATATTTTGCTAATAAACAAACAAACACACACGGAATTATCACCCCCCCTCCTGTTAAAATATTTGTGTGCCGTTCATTTTAAAGAATATAAACCTTTCTGACAGTTTAACCCTCACATAAAAGAGCAATGAAAACATTACACAACTGATTAAATTTGTCTCATTATCTCTGATGTTTTGGGGCTGCTTTAAAATCAGAAATATGATCTGCCTTTTACTGTTTCCATCCATCATGTTGTGAATGCGTGCCATCACCCTGCCCCACGCCTCCGTCCCTTTGGTAACCACTGACAGTGTCTAATTCTGTCTTTTAAACTATTTTGCCTTAGAAAGACGAATCTTCCTTTGGCAAAGTCGAAAACACACTTTAAAGGTCCAATGAATATATGCAGCCCGTTCGATGCGCTCTGACATCCACACATCGAGTCTGAAGGGCCGCGGAGGCCGCCCGGAAGAAAGAACCCGGAAGTGGTGTTAGCCGACAGCTGGCAAAGGACGAGCTTCTTTTTAGTTTGTTTAAGCAGCGGAACTGTTTGTCCTCCAAAGTTCACAGCAAAATGCCGGAGATACTGACACCGAGGTAAGGATAAATGGAGGTTTGCTGCGTGACAGTGAATAATTCAAGATTTTCACGTACTCTCAGGCTAAAATACTTGGTAAAATGCGGTGAAAACATAGTTTGTTGCTATATTTAAGAATTTCATTATTTTCCTTTATTTAAACAACTGTCTTTAAATATATTAATTACATTTTTATTGTAGCAGCATAGAGATACATTTGTGCAAGAATCTACTACTGCAAAAAAAAAAAAAAAATCTGAAAAATTAGTTCATAAAGTAATTCAGTTCTGTGAACAATTTTGTCAAGTAAATGTGAAAAAGGACAAACAGTTTAGGGTTCCCAACTGCTGGACCAAGGTCCAGATCCTGGACCAAATAAAGTTTTATCTGGACCCAAATTTGTTCCTAAATTTCAGTAGAATAAAACATTTTATATACAGTATTTTTACATGCTGGCATTCTTTTGTTCCTCCTTTTACACAGCAGAGCTTTTGTTTAATTTATAAGTTATTTTACGCTACAGAGCTTTTCTAGTATTTAAATCCCAGGTCTGGCCTGTGGTTTCAGCTGATGGCACCCAGAGAGATACAGGCCTGAAAAGACATTATGCTGAGTGAAGAAAACCTGCACATCTGTCACCCAAAGACAGTTCAAGATTTCTATATTAAAGATTTCTTAAGGCAGACCTCCCCGAGTCTAAATTGAAGACCGTAGCTCTGGGACATCTACAAGAATAACTACAAATATAATAAATGAGAACCGTCTGCTTGATTTTCATCAGTTTGTCTCTGTTAACCTTTTTATTACTGTTATGTTTATGTTAAGGATTAAAGCCATTAACACCAGTGCTAGTACTGGACTGGAGGGCTTCAAGGCGCATGCTGTGTTCCAGGAAATCAACAAGAAGCTCCAGGAGGTGAGTGTATGCAGGGGTCCACATGAGCAGTTTCCATTTGTCCCGAGACGACCTGTTTTCTTCAAGGACAACCAGATGTTGTCTGGTGGACAACCAAATGAAATAGACATGAGTTAAAGTTCTTTGATGCCGTGACGAACCTCCGTCATCTGTAATGACGGGTAAAATGAAAGGGGTCTTGTTAGAACCATCTAATGTAATAATCACACTGACGCTGCTTTCAACCAATAAAGAGAAGCAGAGAGACAGCTGAGCCAATCAGAGCAGAGCAGGGCGGGTCCTGCTGTCTGTTTCATGGTGAGCTCGGGTGTGAGCAGCAGAGAGAAACGGCAGCTGAAAGCTCACCTGCAGCAAGCCAAGGAGGACCCCCCCCCCCCCCCCCCCCACACACACACCCCAATGTAGGTGATGACATGTAATAAATTATTAAACATCTGTTTGCATGTGACCAGTACACTGCAGCTGGGGTAAATACCAGAACTGATACACCATCACCCCAGCCCCTCCTGCACCGCGCCCCCACCTCCCCGGACATTTGAATCTAAATCTAAAATTTAACTCATTAAATATTAATGTGTTTGAAGTGTTGTCCATGATTGGGGTGGACCAAGATAAATCTATGAGGTCAAGGCCTCTATCCCCCCCCCCCCCCCAAAC